TTTTTGATTCAAAATACCACGCTCACCAGTACCAGATTCAGATACAATTACTCTCACTTCACATTTGTTTGAAGAAAAAAGAATCTTATTTTTTGATAGTTTAAAAAGGTCACTCTGTAAGTCACAGAAAAACCTGTGCATATCAAATTCAGCATCCTCCAAATTCCTGCTCTTTATTTGCAACCTAGACACCAGTTCCAGCATGGTGATGGTCAAGAGCTATCCCACTCTCTCCCTATTCCTAAACATAGTCATTAAAAGGAAGCAAGGCCGGACAGAAGTTCTAAGGTATCCATACTGGATCAGAGAATATAATAGCCATGTAGGCTGCATGAACAACTGATACAGAAGGACCCAGCAAACATGAAACCATTAAGAAACTCGACACTGAATTAGTTGTTCAGTGTCCTGCTTGAAACTAAAAGTGGACCACTGGCATGCCAAGACAGTCCTTTACGAAGGTAAACTGTCCAGAGTACAACGTCGATTAAGTGATAAAAAGAGATTTACATCAGGGAGAACCTGAGAGATCCTCTGTACTCCAGTAGATTTCTGTTTCAAACTTTCCCAGTGAAAAAGAAGGACAGTTTTCTTTTGTCTCTCTGACTCCTGGAACAAACCAGGGCTGAGGGAAAATGAGACACCAGAACAGTTTTGCAAGAGCAGCATATACCTCAATTTTACTTCTGCGGAGTTCCACAATTCTTGCCACACCCTGGCCTCCTTACTTCAGGAATTCTGCCTCCCTCCCCTGCCCCTGCTTCAATTTTTCATATTATTTAAGAAAAGTTAATTCTAAGCACAAAAAAACCCTGCAATAACAAAGTTACAAATGAAAAAAATGCCAAGTATTGCAATTACAAGCTGTTAAAAACTCACCAACCAAGACCTTGGCAGCTGGGTTGTCAACTCCAATAGCTTTCAGGATGGTTGCACCATCATTGGTAACTGTTACTGTGCTAGCTCTCCCAGTACTTAGAAGAATCTTGTCCTACAAGACGCAAGATTTAGAATACCACTTCAAAATGTACTGCAACTATTAAAACTAAATTAATAGGTACGACTACTGAGAATTTGCAGCTGACTTACCATGCCTTTAGGCCCCAGAGTGCTCTTGATCAGGTCACCAATAGCAATGGCACCAACAAAGGACGACTGAAATGAAAGCAAATATATCTTAGAGAATGACTTACTTCTACTTTAACGCAAGAATTATATGCTAGCCCATAATTTGCAAGGTGACATCTTAACCCAACCCTTCCACAGCACACTTTCTTTCAGCAGAGCCTGGGGTGAAGTTTCTTGAACTGATACATTTTTGTAACCAGATCAAATATACTGAATTCCCACAGAAACCATAAAAGCCTGTCTCATAGGCAAGAGAAATGCCTCTCAATGAACACCAACCTCCCGAGCTAAAGTTATTTAGTTTCTGAACTATGAGGAGTTTCATGTTAGCATGAACAACACTCCTCTTCTGTTCACAGAAATACAACAAGAAAGAAACAGTAAGAGAAAGATTAAGTTCCACATCACCAAAAACTGAAAGCACATTTAACAGTAGAAAAGACATGGTTTAACTACCCCAGTTTCTTAGAGGCTTAAACTTACAAGCCGAGCCGTTTCTGCCTTTTCTTCATCTGCACCTGCCTTGAAAATGTTCACAGGAGCAAGGGAAAGGGATGCCTAAAGCAGAGTTAACATAAGAATATTCCTTTAGCTTTAATAACACTATGCATTTTAGAAACAAATTCCTGGCACTAACAACCTAAACAATTACTGCAATTATTTATTTCCATACCCCATTTGGTTTTGATAAAGGTATATTCAGGACAAATTCACTTTGACTCTTTCTTTAAATCTACCTTGCAATCTCAATCACATGAAGATTACAAGATCGACTGCAATCTGCTCTTAGAGACTGTACCCCATATTCCTTTGGAAGGCTGTTACCAGAACCTTACTTCATGGTCCTGTTCTGCATGGCTGTCAGACTCAAACCATCCAAAGACAGGCACCACGAGCAGAACTTAAAAGAATCTCGTTAACTAACCATGTCGGGTCTTCAATATTTGTGTTGAGCCCTATCACTTTATTGCATTCCCACGCAAACTAATTACAGCAATAATGAACAGACTCCTTTATAGACCAATGCTTTCAAAGAACTCAGGGCATTAACTGGAGTAGGACCAAATCCGAAAACAAGGGAGTTCGGCGACATTTTACTTTGCTGTGTAGCAAGCTCACCCCTTTTGCTACGCAAAGTGCCCGTTACATCACTGCTTTTGACAACAAAAATGAAAACGCTGCTGCGGTAGGAGGCCCCACACAACGGGAGGGCAGCCCTCGGCCGGCGATCGACAGCGGCCGCTCACGCTCGGGGCCTCTGTGCTGCCTCTCCGGGCTTTCTGAGAGATGCGAGGAAGAAGCAGAGGCTTCCATGGCGGCAGCCGCGCCGCGGGCGCAGGGCACGAGCAGACCCGGAGCCCCTCTCCTGCGGGGTGATGGGAACGGCCGACAGCAGACCGGGACTCGACCCGTATCCCGCCCCCTCCGGCCCGGCCCGGCCGCGCCCTCACGGACCCTCCTCGCCCGCGCTCTAGAACCTTCCATGCCCAACACGCCGCCGCCTCCTCCTCCTCTCACCTCCCTCCCCGCCAGCCGCGCGCGGGGCAGGGCGCGAGGCCGCCCCCACGCGAGCGCCTCAGCCTCCGGGCCGGACAAAGCGCGGGAGAGGGGCGCGGCCGCCGGGCCCTTGCACGCGGGTCTGCGGGGAGTGTGCGCCCGCCGCTCCGCCCCGCTCAGCCCCGCCGCGCAACACCGGGCGGGCCGAACCGCCGCCCCGCCGCGAGCTCACCATGGTGCCGGTGCTGCCGCCGACCGGGACCCCGCCAACAGCCGCTGCCAACAGAGAACCAGCGCGCGGACCCACAACCCCCACGATCTCCTGCCGGAACTGGCGTCAGAGAAGCCACCGCTTCCGGCGGCGCGCGGCAGGCTGGGAGCCGCAGTCGTTCCCCCCCTCAGGAGGAGGAGGCTGGGGCTCGGCCCCCAGTGGCTGTGCAAGGCAAAGCACGGCGCGGGTGTGGCGGGGGGTGGTTCCGGGTGTTTTAAGGACTTACGCGACTTAAAGCCATGCTGCTGCCCTCCCGCGCTAAGGCCGCGTCTTGCGCGGCAGCACCTGTTACGGGCTCGCCTGGCAGTGCCCCGCAGCACCCTTTCTCCGAAGAGCTGCCATCTGGGCACTGTATTTCTGCGCAGAGTTATTTCTGCCCTTCCGAAGGAGGTAGAAGCTTCCCTATTTTAATTTCATCATACTCCCAGTTCTCAAACTGGTCAGAAGTATTTCAAATTAGCAGCTCCTGTCTTCCAGTGAACTTGCCAGACTGTCCGGGATACCTGCTGTTGTATCATGCAGATCACCGATTAAAAGTAGTGAATGGGAGACAACCCCAGCACAGTCCCACTCAATACATTATTTTTATAAGGGTATGTAGTGACAGGACAAGGGGCTTTAAACTGAAAGGCGCAGATTCAGATTCAATATTACAAAGAAGTTCTTCCCTGTGAGGGTGCTGAGGCTCTGGCACAGGCTGCCCAGATAAGCTGTGGATGCCCCATCCCTGGCAGTGTCCAAGGTGAGGCTGGACGCGACTTTGAGCAACCCGGTTGCTGGAACAGCAACCGCTCTCTGGTTTCTCTGGGACCAGTAACTGAGGCGTTGATCACAGCATCTAGTTTCAGGTTTAACTTCACGTCAGGCCAGTCAGTTAAGCCTCTGAGCAGATAGGATTTTGAGGGTGGGAGGAAGGAAGACAGAGACTCTCCACAAAATCCAACTCTTCAGGTGCTCCCAACAGAGAATAAACAGATATATTACTGTTGATTTATGTATAGGAATTTTAACAAGGCCATTTTATAGCATTACTGGAAATCCTAGCCCTAGGCATCTACAGCTGGAAGGTCAGCTCTTTGATGTTTGGCTGCTCAATGCCACCTTATCTTGAGCTGGCTTCAAAATTTTATTTCAGAACAAAGCATCATTAGCTCAAGGACGTGAGACATATGCATATTTTAATTGGAATCACATCAGCTGCATTATGGTTTAGTCATAATATTGCTAGAAATTAAGTTGTCTAACTGCATATATTTTACCTGCTATCACATCAGGAAAGGTGCACAAACATCTCTGGGAAGCTTTTTTCCTCTTCAAAATGAAGATAAAAACAACCAGAGTTTCTGCTGAACTCTGTATCACCTTATTATGAAATGTTAAGTGTCATGAACTGCTAAGCAGCCATTCCCATTAGGAAAGCTGCAAAACTATGAAGATCTTCTTGAGAACTGAGTTTTCAGCTAAGTTTCCTAACCAACATGTTGTTGCTTAAGAGGTTCTGAAAACAAAACATCACTTGATGTTTCTAGGGTTTTGGTCATTTGTTGACTAGAAACCATTAACAATATGCCTTGAAACAGTGACTGGGGAGAAAAGAGGAAATACTGAACTTTGAAAAAAAGTGACAAGGCCTTCTGGACAGGACTTCAACTTTGTATGTTCTCATTACTTTGTTTCTGAATTTAGCAGTACTATCCCAGCGAAGCCCATAGGGGTTTTGTGGTCTCTCAGGCACTTCGTAGCTGAGACAGGAGCACATCTGAATTGCTAGCACATGATTCACCAGCCAGTAGTCAACAGCAACAGTACTACCATAACAACAACAACAACAAAGATATCTAAGTCTACATACATGAGAAAGATGTGACAGAACAGCAGTAGAAGTGAAACAAATGTCGGAGAAAAATTCACAGACTCCACGTTAGCATATTCTAGTTTCTTTTTCAACCACTGAGCAATGAGTGGTATGCAAGTGGAACAAGTTAAACTGAAGTGGAACTGAAGCAATGAGTTAAGGAAAAGCAACAAAAGTGATCCTAACGAAATACAATAAGCAACACTGACACTGGGAAATCCTAAAGTAATCCACAGGCCATTTTCCATAAAAATCAATAGTTTATTGCCATGCTACCTTTTTTCTTTTTTTTCCAAATGAAGTTGGCACTGGTAAAGGGGAAAATGTTGTCATAATACAGATACATGTAAAAATGTGCATTTGGTAAGCTTCCTCAGTAATGACAGCTTCAGACAAGTGAAATTAATTTCTTTTTAAGATAAATGTGGAATGGCATAAAAATACACTCTTTTCTGCATAGTATAATATTACTTTTTTCATAAAAGAAATACGGAATGTTTGTAAAAGCAAATTCACTGAACAGGGCAAGTTAATTGAAATTTTATAAACAATTTGGCAATGGTACTCCCACTGTTTAGACTTTTTTATATAAAAGAAATAAAAATCTAGAAAGCTACCTTTATACAAAGTTGCTATATTTATGCCTTTAAGTAGGAAAAAACATTTTATAATGCAAATTAGGACATACAATAATCTTACAATATCATACAATGTAATGACAAGAAAAGAACATACAACATAAGATTTTGGCCTTTGTAGAAGTGTCTATTTCTGCATTTAATAAATGCATTTGTGGCACGCTGGTGACTATTGTATTCTCACTACTACCAGTCAGCTTTTGTGCGAGCGCAGTATCCAACTGTAATGGCAGGTCTGCAGTTGAGTTTAAAACACAGCCTGTTTGTCAGGAGGTGAAAGGTGATGACATTGCAGCAAAGCGAGATGCGAAAAAGGCAACAGGCCTGCTGGTTCAGACATCTGTATTGCGGGACACCAGACAACACTCTTTCCTTTCATACCAGAGCATTTCTTATACATTCAGTTATTAAGTACCAAAGTGTTACAAGTGAGAACACCTGTGTTTGAGATTTGGCAAAATTTCAGGAAAAATACAAAGTTAGTACCAAACATATAACATATTATATATAAAATGTGGGTGTATGACATACACATTCTAATGCAAAAAAACTGCATTAATATGGAGTTAGATGTGCTGACATCCATTCCTAACTAATACAACCATTACAAAACAGGTGTAATCCTGATCTTTCACGCACTTCAGAATCACTTCCTCTTTCATACATAATAGTTAAAGCAATATATATGCAAGTATGACTAAGAAATCAACATTCACATAATAATCTGAACTCTGACCACAACAAATAGGATTTTTTTTTCAGTACTTGTTATTAAATATATTTATATTTTTACAGTATTTTTAGACCTTTCCTGAAGAACTTGACCAACCAGGTCTTCAGGTGTAACAGAGCTGTTACGTCAGCACAACTTGATCTTGCAGGAGCACGTCCAGTGGCCCTTGAAGTCAATGCAAATCACGTGTTTGGCTTCAAAGGACACTGCATGAGGCCTGACCAAGCTCCAGAAGGATTACCCTGCAAACAAGGAAGATTCCCTGATGACATCAAAGCTCCTACCTCAGACTTCCTTTCCTACTGCCAAAGGGAAGGACTGAAGCAGAGACATGGACTCTGGGCATTCTGGTTGGCAGGTGGTGTTGGGCATGACCACGTACAGCACAGCCCCAGTGTGCGGCAAGGTGAGTTTCACGGCACCTTTTGTACCAAGGCTTCTCGTGGAAGGCAGAAGAGCCGCTCCTCCACACTCACTGCTTGGCAATTAGGTCACCAGGGGTCTCAGATGTGAGCTGTGGCTGTGACACCAAGGCATGAAGTACTTTGCAGACACAGAGGAAGACAGTCCCTGTTCTGAAGGGCTTGAGCCTATTTCTTAATCATCTTTTTTACATAAACTCCTTTGTATATACACATATTCGCTACATAAAGTAGAATTACACCAAAGTAATGGATATAGCAGAAAACATTGTCACAATATATGTATGTAACCACACTAAATAATTATTAAAACTGCAAGAAAATTTTCAAAATGCCCGTTGTAGTATCTAAAAATATAGAAATGTCCAACACTTGTTTCATCAACTTTGAAGGTAACTTCATCTCTCATATTCTATCTGTACACCTACATATTTCAAAACAAAACACCGCGTTAATCTGGAGTAAACACCATGTTTTAATGGCTAATATCCTAATAAGACATCTGAAAGACTTAGTCACATACCTTACAGCATGGTATCACAAGACATAATGTATACATGGTCAGAGTTACAGCTGCTAAGCTGAGGGGTTTTTTCCTCCTTATTCACTTATCTTGTCCTGAAGAGGAAGTAATTCCTAAAGATTGCGAAAAGAACCTTAACTGGTGACTTAACTGGTGACTTTCCCATCTTTTTTGTATATGCTCTACAAGAAGGACATCAGGAACCTTGACTCCATCTTAACGCAGTTTTTTGTGGTGGAATTTCTTCTGACTTTTTTTGGAGTGTATATGAATTTAAAATAAAGACATCATAAATGAACTTACGTTTATATTAAGTAAATACTGTCAAATATAAATGCCTGAATTGCTACCTCAGGGAAAAGATGGGAAAGATCGTACTAAATTCCAAAAATACCTAATTCTATCTATCACTGAAGAACCGAACTTCTTCAGGGGAAATGGGAGAAATTCAGATTTAAGTCCACAATTAGTTCCTACTAAATCAGCTTCATCTTATTTGTAGCCATTAAATAAATTAGTACAGTGTAGAAATGGAATTTCACCACTGATCCCACCTTACATGTAAAATACTGTTTAGAAATAGAGGTCCAAATCAGATACATCATTACACGCTTAAAGAAGTAACTGACATTAATCAGAACTCGCATTTTTGCATCACCAACAGTGAGTAAAGACAATCTGCTCTCTCCTGATCCTGTCTCAATGAGAAGTGGTTAAGTATAAAACAAAAGCAAGGACAGCCAGATTTTGAGTCAATACACACAGTTATAAAACCAGCAAAATCAACTGCTGGTCTGTCACCTACAGAAGAGCAGCCCTTTTTTGACACTGGCTCAGACTCCATACAGTTTGCACCTTTTTGTGGCCCTTTTTACACCCAAATCCTGGTCAGAGGGGTAAAACACACAAATATCCAAACATCTCAGGGAGAAGGGAAATTAAGCAGTTTATGATATGAAAGGTATTTTTGAACACTTAACATTTCTATAAGATTTCTGTAGACTTTTAGTAGGAACGGGATTAGTGCTTTCCCTTGGAAACTTACTTATCCAAGGAAACAAAACCTGTTCTAATGAGAATTAAGGTTTTCAGAATGGTCTGGTTTATATTTTTTTATGGAATCACCAAGAAACACCACAAAATTTTTAAAAACTGGTCCTTCTCTTGACATCAATTTGGGAAAAAAATACTTTCCTGACATAATCAATGGATTAAATTCTCACTAACTGTATTTCTAATACAATCTTTATTATGTACTTTTGGTCACTGTTTCATCTTTGTCAACTCAGTTTTTTCTTTGTTTAAGAGATACTCTAATGTATGTCTTTCCCAAATCACTGCATTAAAGGAATACCTACAGTTAAAGGCTTTCCCTTGTCCAATGTGCTTAAAGGGTAGCGGCCAACTGCATGTTATGGATGGAAATTATAACTGATGGAGATGTTGCCGTTTTTGCAGGATCTAGTTTATGTAAACTTAACATGGCTTGGTTACTACAGAAAATGGTTACATATTTGTAGTTTCTCAGTCTACACACCTGTGGGCCCAAAATAAATATGACCTAAATACTGTGGAGAGATTTCAGCTGAAAACTGAATCCTAGATTACAGACACTAAACCTAACATCACAGCCTTGAAGAGACTGAATTGAAAAACTATTTACTAAGTCTCAAAGGGTAAAGTGCATTGCAACTATATCTACTTCAAGGGGAAGAAAATAAGGACTGCTATAAATGAGCAGCATGGGTAATGGGGACTACCCAGTATGTCTGCAGTGCACACAAAACAAGAAAGCATTATCCCACCTGAAAAATTTAAGAGGGTAAAAAAAATAGTCCTGGCAAATATGTCAGACTTGTTAATATAGTTAAGGTTACAGAAAGTTGAAATTTCTCAATTCTGGGGACCAGAGCTAAGAAAACAACCCCTATAAAGTACTGTGAAACTTGCAACATTAAAAAAAAATACTCTGAGCATCCCTTGTATCTGAGACCAGAATAGACATAGGCCAGCACACGAGAACTAAGGAGGGACGTGGTTGGTGGCTGTAATTGCAACAGGTCACTCAGGATCTACCTGAAGTCTCTGTTCCCCTATTTGTCAACTAAGAATACTGTCTCCCTGCCTCAAGGGTGTGTTTATTCACAGGTCCAATTAATTAGTATTTCTGAAACACCCACACCATACAGATGAGAACCAAGTATTTCTAGGCAGCTGGTTAGATCAAACACACTTGCCTCTAAACACATGCTGAAGCATTAGTTCAGTTCACAAATTAAAGTGAGCTCCAAGCTAAGAGCCAGAATTACACCAGTATCATTAACCTACTACTTATTTTGCAATATCTGGTAATTTCTCTTCCGTATAGACCAAGACTGGTCCATAGCATAGGGTGAGGCAATGGCAAAGATGAGAAGGAGCACTAGCACTGCAGACCTGTAAAATGTTTCACTCCAGACCTTCTTGAGTACCAAGGTCTCCCCACAAGTCAACACGTCTATCACAAGAGCATGCATGGGTTGACCATGAAATTATTAACAAAGTGGTTTTTTTTAAATCTTATTTAAGTTCCTCACAATGATCTCAATGACTCCCATATTTTACTTCTGCAAATTATTTTCTTTGTGCATCTGGTATTTCAGTACCATACAGTCTGTAAAAAACAATGACAGTCAGAGTGTAAAGGTTGCCTGGTATCCGTTAATGGTGTGACAAGACACGTGTTTCAGGTGCTATTAGTGCTGCCACTAGTAAAGTGAGAGAAGACCAAAGAAAAAGTTAACAAAGGAACAGGGAACACACTCCAATTTAAAAGACAGAAAATAATCGTAGTTTGTTTGTTACAAAACTTGAATTCAAATATTGCATGAAGAACCTTAATTATTTTACATATCTCCAAATGGCTTTTCTTGCATGTTTTTCTCACTCACAGTTTAAGGGTTATTTTATATCACACCAGTTCACAGAAGTGTCATTTCCTTTGCAATCACAGGCTCAAGATTAATCTCCTCTGCTGCTAGTACCAAGGTGCACCTGCAATACTGCCAGAATTCTAACATTATTCAGAGTATTAGAAAAACAACAAAACAAAGAACTTCTGCTAAGGGTGCATCTGGCATATTCAACAAACAACATTCTACCTGGATGTACCTGTTACACTAAGCAGCCATCACTGAAACCAAGTTCACCAACTGCAAAAGGAAAAGAAGTATGCTCGTAGATAATACTACCCTCAGATAATTCACTACATATCTTTCTAAATTATACTATCAACTATGGATGCACACTGCTAGGATGTACAATTTTCTATAAAGAACTATCAAGTCCAGTACCCTGCCTCCCGTGTAACCTGTGACTGATGCGTTAGAGGAAGACAATAACTGCATAATAAACCTTTCCAGTTGTGCAATCATGCATGTTGCTGGAGAACTGGGATATCTCTGTCAGGCATAAAAACGTAGAACACTGGACAAAGACAACCATCTGACCTTCAAGAGTCTTTCTTTGTCAAATGCAGAGAGTAAGACAAACACATAATGACCCTGAACAATAATTAAAGCTATGTACAAAATGTTGACCTTCAAAAACAAGACATTACGGAACAGGTAAAAAAGAAACACACAAATGCAAAGGAAGGAAGGCACACTGAACTAAGAAATGACAAGAGAGCCTTAATTCATATAGCAAATATGTTCACAAAGAACCCCAAACAAACTCTAATGAGATTAAAGTTGTCAGGTTTCACAGGGAACTTGATATACCACTGTGAATTCTCTTCTAGCAGAAGGAGCTTAAGGCTGGGTTTAGATGTGTTCATAGCTCTGATCAACTAACTTTGATGTAACCTCTCAAATATCACACAAGTTAAGAAAACTTCAGAATTAGAGGCCTTCTTGTCTATGTGGTCTAATAAAAAAAAAAAACTAACAAAAAAAAACAAACACAAAACAAACAAACAAACAAAAAAGACAAAAAAAGGTGTGGTGTTTATACCCTTTGAGATGAACCAATATATCTTGTGAACGTCAAACTGAGTGAGTTAATGCATTAACATACATTTCATTCTGGAGGAGCCACTTCAATGAGGAATGAACACAAGATATGTATTTTGAAAGATTAGGTTTACCTGCTAGTAATGCACATATCAAAGAGGCTTTAAAAAGTGTTATAAATGTCATTAACGAGTATAGGCACCAGACCAGAATATTTATAAATTCAAAACTGGCATGTCACTCGGAGTCTAATCAATTTAAAGAGGCACTGTGAAAGGTGGTGATGCTGCTATGCAGTAATTACTACTACTGTAGAATGAAATAGTGTTACCTAAATGAATACTTGCTCTACATTAATTCCCTTTAGTTAAACAAGTACATGAAGTAGGCAGAAAAAGTTCTATTAGTCTATAAAAGGCGTTAGTGTTAAGAAATGCAAAATACTTGCATCTTCAATTCTATAAACTTCACAAAAGGTGCAAATGATTTAATGCTTCCCAGGCTCACATAGGCAGGTCAGTACTGTTATGTCTAGTTTTCCTAGAAGTACCATCATCTCGGGGCAGTGCTTTTTGCAAGCTTGACATAGCAGCAGTTCTTTCAATGTCTATCACAGCATACAGCTCTGTGCGCCTGGTTGGAGTTTGCGGAAGTGGAGTGGTGGGGGTTTTTGGAGTCTGAGGGTTGTCGGAGTCACTACCACCTTCCAAGTCAACCTGTATGTAGTTGAGCTGCCTGTGTTCTAAACTTGGACGCCTAATGTCAAAGTTAAAGACTGTTGGGGTACAGTCCCGACGTCGTGTAAATTCTACTTTATGAGCACTTGCTGGTACTGTTACATTCTCTGTATTGACATAATTATGCATTGGATCTAGGTTATTGTGGTAGCCATTTAGAGATGGGGTCTTTGGTCCTAAACTGTCATCTTCATCTCTACTCAGCTTGCGGGCTTCCCAAACAGGAGGCAAGGATGGCAAGTTCTCATAGTTCAACAGCGCAGTTCTCCTCTGAGCAGAGTTGTTAACATTCTGGGTGTCTGAGGTACTGGTTGATGTCAAACGACCTCTCCTGACCCCTGAGGCACTAGGGATTGATAACCTATTTATGTTTTCATACACCAATTTACTACCAGATGGCGTTTCTCTGCGTTCATCACTGTCATACCCAGTGTCCCATTCAGTATTGTTTGTGCTGCTGCCACTAACTTGGTCTCTCCCAAGTTGCTCCAGTTTCTCTCTTTCCATTAATTGTCTTTGAACAGGTGTTGGTCCTAAAACAAACTTGACTCCTTCAGGCTCCAGGAGAACCTGAGCATCTCTGTCATCAGTACACATCTGATCCTCTTTTGCTTTTGCTGTTTCAGTGTTTGAAAGCTTTGATTCCAATGGCGCATGCACACTTGATCGACTTTTTCTTTCCTCTTGTACCCCAGTAGTGTTGACGTAAGTGTGCACCTACAAGGGGAAGAAAAAACAAGTAACTTCAAATGCTATTCATGCCTTTTCTCCCCCTCCAAATTTCTTTCTAAGTCCCTGCTTTTCTAATCAAAATACCAGAAAAGCAAATCTCATGATAGCAGCTGTTTAACAGCAGATGTCATATCTTTCACATGTTGCTGAACTGTGCTGTTTTAGGGTTTTTTTTCCTTGTTGGTTTTGTTGATGTTACTCTAACAAAAGAATAGAACTTACACCTAACACTAATGATTATTTTGATTTCGTATTTTACCTCAATTTTGCTCTAGTTAAAGCTTTTAATGTTCTATTCCAGCTCTGCTCTGGTCAGGGCAAGCTTGAGCTGCTCCAACTTAGCTCATTAGTTCAAACGAACAAATCAGTGAGCTCTGCTGTCCCTCACTATGGCAGTGACCAACAGTTCAACAGTTGCTTTAGATAAATTTATCTTTGTAATTTCAACACTGCAAAGGAAATGTAACTAACACACCCACCCACGCCATCACCCCTAGGATCAAGCCATGCGTACTACTCAAGCAATGAGAAAAGAGGCTGGCTCTACTGGAAAAACAGTCCATTCTTTCTTCAAGAGCCAACAGTCTCCTAAAACCAGAAACTAATGGAGAAAAATACACAATTCCATATGAACCGTGGCACTCAATTAGAAACAAGAAGGAGTTGGCACTGAATGCCACTAAGAAAGGCAGGAATATACCAAGTTCCCACAGTGGATCAACACAAGGCTGAACGGGAATGACTGAAGTAATGGATTCCTTCTCTAAATTTTAATTCTGTGTCTGGATACCCAAACAGCAAAAGCAGTATTTGACAGCAGCAGTCATCTAGCCGTCCCTACTTCTCTGTTAAGCTCTACAAGTTGAAGTGTTATTTACAGCTCACTTGACTCCTACACTCACTGCTTTCTCTTAAACTCATTTCTCTTCAACAGCTCCAACAGCAACACTTGGACTCTTCTGTGGGGGCTCTTAACAAATCCTTCCCACAAGATGTTTCATTGCACTTGGTTCCAGTTACCTTCTCTGATTTCCAGCATTGGTTCTTGTGATACATATATTCCTAAATCCCACCACAAATTTTATTAAACTTGACTAATATTTTCAGCAACAATCTGAATGAGGAGACAGAACACACCCTTCTGGAAGTTTTCAGTCTATCCCAGAATGGTAGAGAGGGATCTCAGCAGAACTGACCTCATAGAAACCTCATGAAGTTCAGCAACAGCAAATGGGAAGTCCAGTGCCTGGCAGGGAACAACAACTATACCACAAGCTTGGCACCAACTTGAAAACAGCCTTGCAGGAGAGCACTGGCAGTCCAGGTGAATGGTAAGTTGAATGTGAATCAGCAGTGTGCCCTTGCAGCAATGAAAACCAAATGTGCATTGCTTTGTGTTAGCAAAAGAACAGCCCAGTAGGTTAAGGAAAGTGATTTTTACTGTCAATCCAGCACTCGTGAGACTGAATCTGGGCTCCCCGGTACAAGACAGACATCACCACACTGGAAAAAGTCCAGTAGAAAGCCATGTTTAGAAAGGCACATGACATACAAGGAGAATTGCAGAGCACCATCCTTGTTCAGTCTTAAGGCCAGAAAACCACCTAACAGCTGTTTTCAACTTCCTAAGAGGTAAAGAAAAAGACAGAGCCAGACCCTTTTTGAAGCTGTTCAGCAAAAGGCTAAGGGGCAATGAGTTACCAGGTGTAACAAGAAAAAAATCCATTGACATATTAGTGAGAAATGCTTTCATAACAAAGGTGGTGAAACACTGGCTCAGAGTGTTGTAGAATCCCCTTGGAGTATTCAAAGCATGACAGGACAAGGCTCTGTGCAGCTGCCTCTAACTTTAAGATTTGATCTAGAGGACTCTAGCGGTCCCTTCTAACCTAAATTATTCCACAATTTCTATTCAGCAAATAGAAAACTTAAATGTAAAGCAGCTTCTTGACCAAGATCTCTCATTAGAAAGTACAACTCAGGTGGTGTAAAAAATATTTACTGAAATTTTTGAGTATATGCCAATACATACTTTCTGTATCTTTATTAATATATAAGATGAGCAACTTAAAGCAGTTACTTTCCTCCACAAGCTATCCTACAAAGTGTCATTTTAAAAAGGCAAAGCAAACACTTTTTTGAGGCAGTTAATATATGGTAGGAATACATTACACCCTATACTGAAAAACACAAATGAAAGCCTAAAGAGCAAGCATTAGAAAAATCTGAACTAATGCAGAACCTAACTTACATAAAAGGAAAAAATACCCACTTGCTCCTCTGCTACAAGTAAAGGATGCGTTGATTCTTCACCAACAGAGGGGAGGCGTGCACTTCCGACAGAAGGATGTCTGCTGGAAGGATGTGATGAAGCATCTCCAAAAGATGGATATCTGGGATAGCCATTAGGTAAACTTTGTGCATTGAACCCAGGAGCTGATTCAATTAGAAAACAAGTAAAGCCATATTAAAATAGAACATTTTACTGTATATGAGTAAGATGCTTTGTATCTTCATTTTCGATTTTCAAAGGAGAAATTAAAATATGTAAACCAATGTTAAACAGTCACAAGGGGAATTGCTGGGGGAGAGGAAAGGAAAAGCAAATTGGAGAGTACAGCATCCCAGTATTTACTGAGAAAAATCTCTGAAGCAACCACTGAAATCCAGGTGTATTACACATCACAGTTCCCCCAGTAAACTCCCTATCCAACTTCTCATTTTACATTAACATGTCTCCTTAACAAACAGTACACATAATAATAAGCTTCTATTTCCCTGAAATCATCAATAACCTGGAATTCCTAGTTTCAAATATCAAGCCATCTGTCTGAGATTACTTAAAATCCTCTGGTATTTTTGAAAGGACTCCACCCATCTATCTACTCACAGCAAAATAAGTATTACAAACCCACTGTAGATGTGATATTACCATTACTTTTTCCCCCCTAATAAAAAGGTTGGAACATTACCCAACATTAACATTTCTCAGAAATGCTGCAAGTAAAATATGGTGACGTATTATAAAGCAACACTGCTTCAGTGTTCATACCCATACACCTATTGAATTGCTTTGTAATGCAACACTGCTTCAGTGAAGCAGTGTTCTTATGAAACAACCAAGTTCCCAAAACTTGTTTCTTAAAGCTGAAGAACTTGAGCATGGCAGTTTTGTTACCAAGACTTAGGATTCCCTAAAAAAATCCTCAGCAAGTACCTCAAGAGAATGCATTACTGGTACTTAGCCTCTTAGCTTTAAATTGGTTTTCTTTTTAATTACTTAAAGATTTAATGAAAATTAAATGCTATTTTCAGCTAAGCACCACATTACATTCAGGTACGTCATCTGATAGTATAACCATACTTACTGGTAGGTGTTCGAGGGGTTCTTGGAGCTTCCAACTCAGTTTGATGATTATTCCTTTCTACTACTGGTTCTTCTACCACATTTATGCTATTATTCTGCATTATCTCTTGCAACATATTAAATAGCTCTTCTGCACGGGCACATTTAAAGGCAAAGATTCCTATAAATACACAAGGAAAAAATCAAAATCCTTTAACTTAAAGAAACATGTCTTACAATGTATGTAACTTTCAAAAAAAACAGAACTGGAATCCATGGAATGAATACCTGCCAAAGAAACAAAATGTTAAGAAACTTTTATTGCACCAAAATACACAAATTACTGTAAAAACCTTAAAAGTGTTTATCTAATAGAAGAGTAAGATTCCCATGCACCAAAAGTTCAGTTAGAACAGAAAACTGGTTCAGATAAGAGCAAACTAAGTTTTGAGTGCTAAATGAGGGGTTTAAACAAAACAAAACACACAAAGCAGGGCAAGGTTTTTTCTTTTTTTTTTTTTTAAGCTGAGAAAAAGGATACCTGTTTGATAAATTAATTAAAAAACCCAAAACACAACTACTAAATGAAACTACTGTGGTGTTACACAGTCATATTTTTTAAATCAGGTTTCTATTAAATTACCATAAAAATAAGATCCCTGTACAACAGCAAAGAAGAATTTAAACATTGGATAAAAGTTTGGTTTCTTTGAAAGGATTAAAATGAAAAGCTAGTAAGACAAACTGTGTGAAACGGACAGTAACAAACCAATTGCTTTAGGCTAAAGGATAGACACAGAAAACAAAGTTAGCAGCAATACCATGTCTTTTGCGTGTGTATTGTGCCACTTTGCCTTTAAACAGCAGGGAGCGCCCCAACTTACCATCACCAGCAAAGTCGCAGCTTTGGATTATTCTTCCATTGAAAGCATGAAGTTAAAGTTGACATGCTTGTTAAACGTGGGTGGGTTGCTCATTTTTTAAAGTGAGTATTACAATCTTAAAACACTCTACTAAAACTACCTACCTAAATAGCTAGTTCTGTAAGTACAGTTATGGTAATACACTGGCAATTACTATCAAAATATATTTATTTAAGGACAGAGAACTGTGACATCAGAACTACCAGAAAGGCTCCACATGGCAGAAGTTCACAAAACCCCAGCTGGGAATATATCAAATGGACTTAGAGGAATGACACTCCACAATTAATATTCAGCTGCTGTGGTGAATAAGCTTCATGCTTGCAACACAGCAGCTGCAGAGCTGCTTCTCTACGCCATTTCTCCAACCCACGATCCAGTTCAAGTATAAACCATGTTTAATTTTTTACATATTTATGAAAATTCACACAAGATACTTAAATCTTAAGGGACAAAAAGTAAAATAAAATTGAAAAAAAAGAAAAAAATCTAGGTTCACAAACTTTAAAAAGCTCCCAGTATGTTTCTGAGAAATTCAGCTGTCTTTACCTATTTGTTTTAAAAAGTGCTTCCAAACTGCTGATTCCTTAAAGTAGGAGGTGAACCAAATTGGCACTGAAACTGCAAGCAAAACCAACCTGATGAAACCTTGATTTTTATTAAATATGTCCACATTAATACAATGTGATCTGTCATTTACGGAACACGGTGACACACAATCTCCCCCAAGTTTTCTACCCTTAATTATCTATTTAGGTGCACTCCCAAAACTTATCAATTAATATAATTTGAGATTAAATGGAAAACACAAACGAGAATATCAAGTAATGCAATCAGTAAAAGTTGCTGGGCAATATTCAGGGTATACTCAAATGAAATTCTTGGTCATCTCACCAAGTGAAGTTTTGCAACTGTGCCCAGTGTAGGTCTCAGGAACAATGCTCCACTGCAAAAAAGGCAGCAGAGAGAACATTTTCTGGCAGATTTCTTTTTTCTCAATACTCACAGACTTTTAATATTACATAAGGAAGGCAAGAAACAAAAGAGGGAGGAAAGGGCTGCTGCTTACACAGGCTGCTTAATCTTCTCTATTAAAAATTAATATAGGAAGCTAGCAGAAAAGTCATTTAGACTTTGGTGGAAAATTGTGCACATTTGCTAACAGGCCATGGGAAAGAACCTTTAAAATAATATTTTCAGTTTAATTTTATCTATTTTACGTATTTAGAAGCAGCAGTAAATTAAATCTGAAAAACTAATTAAAGTGATTTCCTTCAAGACAAAGTTTATCACTTGCTTCAAGGAGCCTGAGAATTTAGGTCAGTATGGAGTGTGCTGTAACATTTGAAAACATCTCCGTTTCTCATTAGGAAATAATCTGAGAATACCCCAACTGTCTGCTCTTACCTCTGCTTGGACAAGGAAGACTGAATGGTAAACTTTGTTTATGATCAAGTTCTTTCATCTTACTGATTTTTTACAGTCAAATTTTAAGAAGGTGCAATTGCTAAATATCATTATTGATAAAAGCACTACTAAATGCTAAAAATCTGTAAGAAAATGAAAACGCAACTTAATTTCACAAGATACGAATACGTAAGAATTCCAACTACACACAGCTACATTCCAGTGGAAAGATGCAAAACGAGGCCAAAACCACTATACCCTTGGGGACTGCTGCAGTGAAGAGAGAAAAGCCTAAATCTTCTCACTGGGAGCCAACCTTGGCAAAGGCAGGCATGATCTGGGAACTGCAAAGGTAACCATCTTTTCCAATTAAAGCCACATAGAAAATAACTAACTGAGCATAACTGGAGATTACACTTCATACAAATAATATGAATTTGAAAATGGCATCACTGATATAAATGGAAGTGGCATTTGTTTTAGGAAGAGGATGAAAGAAACACAAGTGTGTTACTGAAGACAATAACAGAGTCAGGATATCCAGTTCATATCAGTGCTCCAATCTTTTAAAAATCTAAAAATTGAGAATTCTTTGAATTCCAAGGAGATTCCTCCACAGTTCGTTTCACTGCCCTTCTCTGAAGGTCAAGTCAGCCTCTGAGATAGAAGGATTTCCTTGCCAAAAACACCTCCTAAGTTGATGAGAGCTATCCAGACCTACAATGCCAAAAACTGTGTAACTGAAATCCTCATTTTACCGTAAGACCATTCCTCATAAGGTAACACACTTTCTTACCCCAGAAACCACCTTCCCATATAAAACTATAGCCTTTAGAACTCTTGCCAAAGGACAGGCAGATATACTTTTTGTTTGGGGGATGGGGGGAGAAGGAAGGGAAGTGTCATCCAACATCAAATAATTTCCAAAAAGCTTTTAATACCAAAAGATCACATACCTTGTCCAGTTTGACACCTTCGGCCACTTTCAAAAGAGAAAAGATTTGAGTCATAGCCATAGCGACGGAGACAGAGGTAGTGCCATTTTACAGAGTCCCTTTTACGGGTGTACAAAATTAGTTCTGTATCTGTAAGTTCCATTATGCCAGAACCCAGTTCATTACCATCATCATCGACATTAATAACCTATAAAAAAAGAAGTTAAATAGCATTAGGTCAGTACTGTCTGAACACCAATACTACTACTACTAATGTTTCCCTGATAATGCTCCACCTGCTCTGTCATACTGGTTATGATCCTTGAGGTAAAAGTTAAAAACACAAAACACCTCATCAAACCAGTTCCTTTGCTTCCCCCACCCAGAATTAAAAGTAATACATATTTAAAAGCAGTTTGAGTAAGACTACATGACATTACTGTAAAATCCAAGGAGAAATTTAAAACACAAGAGATTTGTAAGTTTAATTTTTTTAAACTGGCTTTATGTACATGTTCTAGTGTTTTCATCCAGATAAGGCATACCTCAGATAATGAAATATTTTTAGAGACCCATTTCTGAAAAAACATTTGATTTGTCATATAACCCCACTTAAAGTTGGGTAAAGGAATGAAAAAGATAAGCAGCTCCAAGATAAAGCTTCCTTCACATACGTGTGTAGCCTTGCACTGTGCTGAATCACCAGACTGGTTTAGACTTTTTTATGCCTTTTCAAAAAAAAACCCCAAATAATTCAAATATCCTATGATTACCTTGTGTGAAAATGTGTACAAAGATTAAAACCCTTTTTTTCTGCTTTTAAACCGGTTTGAGGTCATCTGCATCCTTTAGGCAATCTGGACAATGTCTATTTTCACAGACTCATAGAAATGGTTTGGGTTGGAAGGGAGCTTCAAAGGTCATCTAGTCCAACACCCCTGTATGGACATCTTCAATTAGAAGATTCCTCTGCATTTATTTTATCTCACAATACTGCTTCTAATGGGATTGCGTCTTACTCAATAAAAAGGCTACCAAAAAAATCTTCCCTATGATATTGATGAATGTTACTCCTTAAAGAGAGATTTTCAAGTTGGAATCTAGTCAACTGAAAAGAATTAGGAATAGTTAAATCTGCCACTGAGGCTTATGCCAACTTTCTTCATTTTACAAATTACATGCTTGCATCTCCTCCCCCTGCTGCTAAATCAGTGACCCACACAAACAATAGACAAATTCTATGAGGAGAAAAATAGGAACTAGTAACACAAAGTGATTGATGTCAAATGCATAAAAAGCAAGAAAACAGAAAAATATTTTATCCTTCAGCTTTTTCTACTGATAATATGAAACATTTCCAGAAATCCCATGGCTTTAAAGCTCATTTTGGTGTTGCCCTAAGGCAACTCATGAATAGTTTTTCCACTATGGAAGCATTACATTCCTTTGCCAACTCACAGAGACAGTCTGGAGCACAGAAGCAAATCTGACTTGTGTGACTATGCAAAGGTATGTTTACTTAAAGTCACTGACTTCAGCAGCTTCATATTAAGCATGTTAAACATATGAACAAGTGTGACATAAGCTTATAAATTCCAGGGATACGAGGGACAGAAGCACATTTATAAATAAAATTTCTTAAACGACAAAATAAAAACTTTTTATTATCCTGACAAAAATACTGCCATTAGTAGTGGGCTTCAAAAATTTTCCATTGCTGACTCCACATACAGGTTCACAATCACACTTCTCCAACAGATCTTCCCTTACGCTCACAACTCCCCTCCTAACTTCCATAACCTCACAGAAGCAAAAACATTTACTAGGGCCCTACCAACAAAAGCACAGGACTGCTGCTCTTTCCTGAAGATCAAAACTGTCACAAAAAAGCCTACCCATCTAGAGAATTCCTGTCACTGCTGGTAAGAGAGGATTTCTCAAAGGGGCAGTAGAAACCTGTAGCTATGGACACTTTCAACTCTGCAATGTTTTAACTGTTCAGTAATTCTCACCCTTTTTTTACTTAATTTTTTTAAGAAAAAAATAATTACCTGCTCTGCAAGAAAGCAACAAAATAATTAAGAACGTATCACATCATTTGCTTACCTTAAACTTATTTCGATGGTTATCTGGGACAGTTTCTTTATCTGGACAGCTACAACAGCTACCCATGACTTCTTTAGAAGACCATGTGATCTCTAAAGGCGAAAAAAGACCCAACCAAACATGAGAAGTATCATTTAGTTGAAGAATAATTAGAGTATTATCAATAAAAACCCCAAACAAATTGCTCTTTGAAATGACAATTCTTCATGATGAGTTTTACAGTCATAAGCAATAAAAAAAAAACAAAAACAACATAAATATTAGACATATTTTTAAATAGTTAAATTAGATTTGGCATTTAGGAGTGGCAACACCGAGCGGTTAAAGTCCTACCAATAATTCAACTCTAGGTTACTACAAAACAGACCCATTTGATTTGTCACCTTAATTCCCATGGCAGCAGCTTGGGGAAAACAAAACCCAACAACTTACTGTGTGCAATTCTCATCTCCTGAACCAGGGCCTTTACACAGGGCAACTCTCTGGATTCCAGTTCTAAATGAGCACTCCCCAGCCGAGACTGCTGAGCACAGCCCTAGTGATGCCCATACAAGCCCTGGGCTGTGGGAAGTTACCAGGCAGAGGCAACACAAAGAGCCTGCATGGCAGTCCTGAAAGGCTGCCCTGGCTTCAGCAGCTCCAGGGCTGGCTTGCAAGAGAGAATGGAGGCATTCTAAGCCTGGAGGCAGCCCTGTGCTGGCAGCAGTGCAGCGAGCCTCTGTGCTTCACATTTAAATACTTCCCATATAGCAATGTACATAAAACTATGCAACCAAAGTCAAGGGAAGGAAAAAAACCCACATTCAACACAAATATTTCAAAACTTGAAGGTTTTTTTATTTCAGTTCTATTTGGATTGTGTTACAGAGTCTACTTCATTTGCTATAAAACTCTAAAATATTCAACCAACCTAAAATAAGGAAATAAAAATATTTGGCATTTAAATGTTTTCATTTAAATATTTTTCTATGTGTGGTAGAACTTTCATAAAACAATGATAAAATGTTCATAGAACCAAGTCTCACAACAACCTTCTCCTCCCTCTACCACCTTGCAGAATGGGTGGTAGAGGGTATTAAATGGGTATTTAAGAATGAGAGTCAGACAAAAGAAACCTTGACTATTTACCTCATCTTTATACTGGGTAAGAACTAGAATTTCCACTACAAAAATGAAAAGTGGGGCAAAATCCTGGAAGAGTAAGTCAACACAAGATATGCCATTAGGAATCAAGAAAGAGGAACTGGTTGGTAACTTTGCCTGATTAAAGGGGAAAAAAATCTGATGTCACCTTAATAAGACTGAGACATGCTTTCTAGACAGGCATTTGTATTAGCATGCAGAAGTAGTACCCCAAGTAGCACTTTAGTCTGCTGAGAAGTAAGGTGCAAGAAACACAATGAAGAGCGGATAACTCTTCCACTCTTCTTGACCAGAAAACCCACTCAAAAGAGATACTGCTATCCTAGAGACTGTATAAATCTGCCACTAAAGCCCTGAAGAGGTGAAATGGAGAATTTAACATAAAAGGTAACAATATGGCTTGGATTAATCCCAATAAGAGGCAAAGTGCCAGACACACAGTCAAAATCATGGATTCTCTACTGTCATTTCTGGCTGTAACACCAAAACATGCATTAATTTGATGGAGCTTTTTTCCCTCCGCTCAATATGAAACTGGGGAGTTGATTGCTTGCTTGTACTGTTAGAGAATGAAGCTATGCTACACACAACTGATTTTTGCATAGCAAAGTCCTAAATCTTTTTCATCAGTCAAATCACTCAATTACAGACTATTTTTAACAGTCTTCACACATACATGCCATAGTTAGTTCAGCAAAATTTTTACTTCTGAATTCTGCCTGATTTGTTTAGAGAGGGAGATACAGGTAATAAAACCTACTACTAATTTCCTACCCTGCACTCCACAATGCCTCACTACAGTAATGTTCACGTTGTTGGTCTTGCTAGCCTATTGATGGTACCCTACTCATGCTGAGAATTCACTGCTAAAAAGAGCAACAAGTGACAACAGCTGCAATGCAGATTCACAATGAATATATAAATTTGCAGCAAAAGTTTTCAAGCTCTGGTCCATACAGCAGTCATAGCTGTAGATGCTTCTAGCAGCTTTCAGGCACAGATAACTTGCACTTAATAAAGCTCAGTGTTAGACCTCCCCAAACATTTTGACAAAGTGGAAACAGAACTAGACAGTAGCATGCTGTTTTAGTATCATGACTTTCTCGGCATTCAGCATAAAACAGCTGATAAAATCTGTTGTAGGCAGGTGCTTGCAAACTTAAAACAATTTAAAAAATCCTTAACTGCAAAATAGTTTGGAATAAATCACTAGAGTTGCAAGCAGAAAGCTTGCAATAAACTATATGAAATTGTATGAAGTATGGCCACTGTATCTCAAGAAAGACAAAAAGAAAGGGTAGGGTCTTGATAATTATGTAAGCTTGTTACTTTGTCTCCAATATATTCTGATATTAATACTTCAGAAAATCAAGAACTGCAATGTTGGTTCAAAGAAGAGATGTAAACTAAGGCTACGAGGAATAAATGAAACAGTTAGGGAACCAGCAGAATTAAAAATCACTCACCTAGATTTGGCCATTAATATTCCCAGCCTCTCCTGCAGCATCAGGGCTTCTGTCATACTCAAAGTGTCATGCTGCCTTGTCACAGAACTAATCATTTGACCTAGAACTAGAAGAGTACAGAGAAATGTAATTTTTCTGGGTTTTAAGATACAAGTTAGTAAATAGCAAAAATACGTACTTTAAAATTATTTTGGCAGTATTATGTCAAGTGAGGTATTGCTGGCCAGGATGCATCTTAAGTGGAATTTTAAACAAGAGACTGATCTCTCAGAGCTTCCCCAGCATTTCAGTGCCTAGCTGGGTCTTGGAAGAAAATCACCTGGTGTCCCTTTCTGCATTGTCACCTATAACACTGGGGACTCCACTCATTCCCACTCACTGCTTACCCAATTCAGTGTGTGGAAGTGACAGATATGAAGCTCCCATTATCCTTAGCACATACTGACCCAAACCACAGGACACAAACAGAAGGAACACATACAGCTTCCTCTGCCTAACTCCCTCTTGCTTATCCTACTGAACACACACAAATGCTGACTTGTATGGCTAACACTGCAGCACTGGTAAATGCAAAATAACGCAACTAGCATAGGAGCTCTATCTGGTAGGAAAACCAGTCATGTAGTCACACAGTTCAACAAAACACTAGCTCAGTAGCTATCATAAAGCAAATGAAACAATTGTTTGAAAAGAACTCGAAGAGCCAAACCAAAAATACAATTCTACTGTATGCATCCCCAGTGCACCCACAGATGCAGTAAGGTATGCAATCATGCCTTCCCCTGTCAAGAAAAGCAGAGTAAAACCAGAAACATAGTGCTTGGACTGCTCAGCCTGGAAAAAGGAGCCACAGAGGTTAGAAAAGATGAGTACCGAATCATAGGTGACATGGAGGAGATAAATAAAGCACAAGTACTTTCCAAGTGCAAGCATTAGGAAGCAGCAGTGGACACTATTAAGAGGCAGGGTCAAAAAAAACACAGTAGTTTTGCACATGGTATGTAATTAAACTTTGTGATCCACAACATATTGTGGGAATGAGTTCCAGAAATTTAAAGACTCAGAAAGTAACTGGGGAAACACAAGCTCCATGAAGAGCTTGTAAACTCAAGGATGTCACATCTGGCTCAAAAAGCCTATAAGCTGCAGATATTTAGAAGGGTCTTAGAACACAGACATGCTCCTTCTTACTGTTCCCTTATATTTAATATTGGCTGTCAGAATTCACTATTTACTGTCAGAAACAGGATACCGGAGACACTTGTATTTCACGTTTGATCCAATAAAGCTATCCTAGTTAACACTAAAGGATGACATGGACTCAAGGTAAGTTTGATTGTACTGCAGTAAGACATTAAAAAAAAAGAAATAACCAACTTGTATTTAACTTGAAACTAAACCCTAGATTTCACAACGGTAGAGGGCTAAACTTACTGAACTGCTTGACAGGTATGTTATTTTGCATACACATACTACACATACAGATTCTCTGCTGTGCATAAGTAGTATTTAGTACCAGGAACTTGGAGCAAGTCACATATGCTTCCTATAATTTATTTGCCCTTTAGCCATAAGCCTTCTTGATCTTGGACAAAATCATACACAGTTGTATTGAAGATCTGTCCCTCTGCAACATGCAGAGGGCTCTGGTTCTATGATGGCCTGACCCATCTAGCTGGTATTATTTAACTGTTTTTTGGTCAGGTTACATTTTTGTTGGCTCAACATACCAGACCAGCTCAGCAGAGAGCCTAGCAAGTGCCAGAGCCAGCTGGGGACAGAATCACAGCATTAGCCATCTCTGCCCAGTTTTCAGAAAACTTAGCTGCTGCACTAATGACTGGGATTTACTTAGTTTACCGAATTCCCTGCTAAAAATCTTTAGGATGGGAGAAAGGAAAGAGGGAGCAGAAAGCTTTGCACACACATGCACCTCACTCCAGTGGAATCTTACAGGTAGTCATTAGAAAAATAGTAAAATTAAAACTTTTCACAGGCAAGCTACACTCATGCAGGTGTGTTTGCACAGGTATTTACCCTGATATTTTTCTAGCAGAGTTATAAAGCCTTCACATGGTTTGGCTACCCAAAGCAGAGGAGCCTATTTTCAGTTACCCAAGAATGATACTTCAAGTGATCTAAACAGAGATTTTAATGGATAAAAGAAAGCACACAAATTTACAGCACCTAACTTCTTTTAAACGTAAAGGAATAGCAAAATTCTCCAACCAGTTGTTTCCAATTACAAGTTGGCCATTTACTGTTTGTGATTTTCTTAAATCTTCCCAGATTGCAAAATATTTACCCAAACTTAAACATACAAGGAGTAGACATTTTCACAGCCACAACCCTAAAAGTTAATCTTTTCAGTTATGTCTAAAATGTCAAATTTAGGAGCTGTAATTTCCCGTTCACAAAATATCAGTGGTGGTTGGGTGCAGTCATGCAAGGAGGGGGAAGGGGTGAGTATTTTCTGATTCTCCCCAACACATTCATTACTGCTCTACAAGGTAAAATCCCAGGCAAGACAAACGAGGACCAGCGCTTATCTACACCTTGTTAACAGAGTTAAAGTTAGGAACTGCCATAACTTCAGGAAGATTTATTACTTGGCTCTGTAAAGTGAACCATGTCCTTTTCCCTCAAAGAACTACGCATCGGCAACAAGTTATGCTAATCTGAAAAGTCAAAGAAGACAAAGTATCAATGTAAATACAGTAGATATTTTTTTAAAGTTGTATGCCAAAGCTTGGGGAAATTCGGACACTTGCAATTGTGCAATGTCCCCAGCTTGGGAATCGTCAGAACATACGTGTTTCCTTCATGTAAGAAAAGCCACATGGGCAAGCTGCAGTCATATTCCTCCTTTTGCTCATGATAACTGGCTGACCCATTAAACTCTGCTCACTGTTGCAATGCCAAGGTAAAACCTGGCGTTAAATTAGCTCTGCATGCTCTGGTTGCAGAATCAAAGATTAACTTTGGGGGATATTTCAATTCCCAGCACACAGCTTTTAGAACTCAGGGAAGGAAAACTCCCAAACCATAGCATGGCCCAGAAGAAGTATGGAGAAGCAAAGATGCCTTGTCTGTAAATCCATTTTTTTTGCATGAATTCTTTTCAAATGAAAATGTGATCTTTCAAATCACTAACTACCACAGTGCTAGATCCTCTGTATGTCTTGCTCTTACACATACAGGGAGAGTGCAGAAAACATAACCATAGCACATTAACATAAAGTGTTTTGTACCACAAAAGTGTAGTTTAAAAAAATTTGGGCTTTTTTAAATTGGGGCTTCAGAAATTTTAGTATCTAGAAAGGCCAATGAGTACAATGGAGTAACTGGAGAAAGATGCCTGTGTACAGGTTGTTAGCACTCAGGCTGACAAGCACTTGAGTGTATTCATTCACATATTATCAAGCATCAAAATATCATTTTGATCACAGCTAAGCAACAGAAATACACATTTAGAACATCATTTTTGTCTATAATATTCCAACTTTCCAATTTAGAAGACTACATACACTTTTAAATTTAAAGTGTCATCATCGACCATTTTCGAAGACTGTTTCTCATTTGGCCTAAGCTATGTAGAAAAAAAATAAATAAATCAAATGTACATACATGTATGTAAAAGGACATAATCCCAACTACTAGAACACCAAACTCCTCTGCACTTTTATTTCCTACTCATTTAAAGTATTTACTGAAAAGGTAGAGTAAAAGGAAGTATTACCAAACACTCTACATTTAACATCAATTTCTGTGGAAATAAGTCATTTGGAAACACGAGATACACGTATGAAAAGGCAACTATTATTATTTTAAAAAATAATTATTCTGCTAAACCAGTATTTGAGGGAGTAAGGCAGTTGAAAAATGGCTAGCATCTTTTCTTCCTAATTTCTTAAAACTTAAGACCTTAAAACATCTCATTCCTGCTGAGAATTTCTGACTGGTCACATAGAATCATAGAATAGTTAGGGTTGGAAAGGACCTTAAGATCATCAAGTTCCAGCCCCCCTACCAAGGGCAGGGACACCTCACACTCAACCATATCACCCAAGGCCTCATCCAACCTGGCCTTGAACACTGCCAGGGATGAAGCATTCACAACCTCCCTGGGCAACCTATTCCAGTGCCTCACCACCCTTACAGGAAAGAATTTCCTCCTTATATCCAATCTAAACTTCCCCTGTTTAAGTTTTAACCCATTACCCCTTGTCCTGTCACTACAGTCCCTAATGAAGAGTCCCTCCCCAGCATCCCTATAGGCCCCCTTCAGATACTGGAAGGCTGCTATGAGGTCTCCATGCAGCCTTCTCTTCTCCAGGCTGAACAGCCCCAACTTTCTCAGCCTATCTTCACACAGGAGGTGCTCCAGTCCCCTGTCCCCACATCCTCGTGGCCCTCCTCTGGACTTGTTCCAACAGTTCCATGTCCTTTTTATGTTGAGGACACCAGAACTGCACACAATACTCCAGGTGAGGTCTCACAAGAGCAGAATAGAGGATCACCTCCTTTGACCTGCTGGTCACACTCCTTTTGATGCAGCCCAGGATACAGTTGGCTTTCTGGGCTGCCAGCGCACACTGCCAACTCATTCATTTTCTCATCGACCAGCACCCCCAAGTCCTTCTCCACAGGGCTGCTCTGAATCTCTTCTCTGCCCAACCTGTAGCTGTGCCTGGGATTGCTCCGACCCAGGTGTAGGACCTTGCACTTGGCATGGTTAAACTTCATGAGGTTGGCATCAGCCCACCTCACAAGCGTGTCAAGGTCCCTCTGGATGGCATTCCTTCCCTCCAGCGTATCAACCGAACCACACAGCTTGGTGTCATCGGCAAACTTGCTGAGGGCGCACTCAATCCCACTGTCCGTGTCAGCAACAAAGATGTTAAATAAGACCGGTCCCAACACTGATCCCTGAAGGACACCACTCGTTACTGGTCTCCAGCCGGGCATTGACCCATTGACCACAACTCTTTGTGTGCGGCCATCCAGCCAGTTCTTTATCCACCAAGTGGTCCATCCATCAAATTGATGTCTCTCCAATTTAGAGACAAGGATGTCGTGTGGGACAGTGTCGAACGCTTTGCACAA